TCTATTCTCAAAGTTGGGTTGGGAGCTGGGTCCATACTATACAAGCTATGATGACTTTTACCTTGATATTTTAGCCCAGATGTATATCTAGCCGAATTGCACTGTAAGGGGCATTTAATATCTGTTTATCCAGACATTAGGAAAAGATCAGTCAATGCATTTTATATTTAATATGAGGAAAATACACGTCTGTAACGGACGTGACACAAAAAAAAAAAAAAATTATGAGGGAAAAACAATGTTATGTGACAGTTCCCCGTTACGGACTTGACCACTCTGAAAGCGGCACTGAAAGACTGCTTTAAAACTTTCACATTAAACATAAAGCACAAAGCCTTTCATTAAGTTGAATTTCGTTTTGTATTAATTGTATGTTAATTTAATCAATGTTTCATCAACCAATTGCCTGGATTTAATAAATAAGAACTAAATATAGCAGACAATAGATAATCACGACACAGAGGCGTCAGCGAGTGAACTGAAGCTCGTCTTGTGAGTCATAAATGAACCGAAACACAGCGTATAAGGCAGGCCTACTTGCCTCAGGAGTACAATGGGTGCCATGAGGTGCGACTGTATAATGTAGAGAATAATTACGAAAATGGAGAGAAAATATAAATCGGGCGCATTAAAAGGAAAAGAACGAGATAGTCTTTGTGTTTTATTAACATGCGCTTACTTGGCTCAACAAGCAATTTTTCCATCACTAATATCAATGGATCTAACACCATCAACGGCTGGCAGTGGTTCTGTGCCAAGGCTATCTTCACTGGCGGTATGCAGTAACTATTCAAACATCAATGACTGCACAAAGGTAAAACTCAGAAAACCCAGAAACCCTGTCCTAAAAAAAACATAGCAGAACTAAAATATTCCAGACTCTTAATCAATCGAGAACAATATGGGACTCTACTTATAAACCTAAGGGATTGCTGTGTGGACATATAAATGTTAGAAGTCTCGGAAATAAGCGTGAACAACTAGAGCACATCCTAAGTGATTCAAATATTGATTGTCTAGGACTATCTGAAACTTGGCTGAAGACAACATCTGCTGATGCACTGGTAGCTATGCCTGGGTATCAGGTGTTTAGAAAGGACAGGGAGAAAGGCAAAGGTGGCGGAGTATTGCTCTACGTTAGAAATACCTGGACTTGTAGACGGCTGGAGTGGTCAACTGATGTTGCATTTGACTGTGTTGGTGTGGAAATCATTTTATCAAGAGAAATGTCTTTTATCTTAATATGTCTATATCGACACCCATCCATGAAGGTAGATTTTTATGACCAGCTAAAGACCGTGCTGAAATCCTGTGACCAAAATAAGGAAGTTATACTTATAGGTGATTTTAATATAAATTGGGATGATAAACATGGTAGGAGAAATCTCAAGCGATCCACGGATTATTTCGATTTAGAACAGCTTGTTGAAAAGCCAACTAGAATAACAAATAACTCTCAGACAAGAATAGATCTTCTTTTTAGCAATAAGCCAAACCGAATTATTAAGACCTTTAATTTTTAACTGGTTTATCAGAACACAATATGATTTTATTTTCAAGGAAGCTTTCAAAAAAGAGGTTTCTAAAAATAAATAGTGCCCTTCATTCCCCTGATGTTAAATTAAATTTTATACCTAAGAATCAAACAAAGAATCTTAATACAGCCTTGAAAATGGTTGATTGGGAGCCAATACTTTGCTCAAATGATATAGAGAGCAGTTGTAATGCCTTTAACAACAAGCTTAATGAGGTAATGTCCTCCTTTACCCATAGGGGGAGTGGCAGGGCTAGGAAGAAAAATAATCTACCATGGTTAAATCCAACTTGTAAAAATTTATTAAAAATAAGAGATGTGTTGCTTAAACAATATCTGAAATCTGGTTTGTCCACTGATAGGGAAAAATTAACACACGCACGTAATAAAGTTACACAAACCTTAAGAAAAGCTAAGGCAGACTTTTTTGTCTCCATTATAGAAAGTACAAGAGGTAATGGGAAAAAAACATGGCAAATTTTAAATAAATTATTAGGTAAACACAATAAAAAGGAAATTAAAGCCATTGAGTTAGCTGTGAATAATGTCCGGATTAGAGATCTCATAACTGTGGCAAAAACGTTCAATAATTATTTTATAGATAGTATATCTGAAATAACAAGGCCCTGTGTTTCCTCAAAAATTTTACCTCGACCATTAAATGAAGATCAGCCTATTTTTTAGATAAAAAATATAACGGAGGTAGAAGTAAAGAAGATCATTGCTGCCCTTAAAAACTCCTTTTTAAAAACTTATAACGATGCTTTTGGTACAACCTATTACCTTTATGGGTAATCAATCAATCAGTCAAAGGGTAGTTCAATCAACTTGGAAAGAGGCCATTATTACACCAATTTTTAAATTAGGATCAAAAACACAGGTTGCCAATTACCGTCCAATTAGCATCCTGTCAATAGTCTCTAAAGTTGCTGAAAAGTGGATAGCAAAACTTCTTGTTGAACATCTGGATAAAGGTTTCACCCCTCTGCACCGTATGCAGTTCGGTTTCCGGCCAAATCACTCCACTGAGTCGGCAAACTGCTGTCTGATCGAACAGATTCAATATTTATTGGATAGGGGTAATTGTGTAGGAGCGGTATTTTTAGACCTTAAAAAGGCGTTTGATAGTCAACCATCAAGTATTGTTGACAAATTACACATTTTAATTTTTCTACAGATGCTATATCATGGTTTCAATAATATTTATCAAACAGAACACAGTGTGTTAATATAGATGGTGTTAAATCTCCTCCTCTTAGTAATCATGTTGGAGTTCCACAGGGCTCAATTCTCGGTCCTTTATTGTTCTCAATGTATATTAATGATCTGCCAGATATTTGTTTGGACTGCAATGTGCAGATGTATGCAGATGATGCTGTGATTTTCATTCATGGAAAAGAAAAAAAGACAATAGCTGCAAATCTTACAAAATCACTAACTGAAGTTCAAAACTGGCTAAATCAAATTTGTCTCACTCTCAATACCAAAAAGACCGTGGTGATGATGTTTACGAAAAAATCCTCTGTGAAGTCAAATACTTTAAAAACTGAATTTAAGACACTCACGAAGCAATCGCTAGCAGGAAATAGATCTTCCGTGTTTTTGGGAGAGGAGGAATTGGAGTTGGTAGCCCAGTTCAAGTACCTTGGGGTTATACTAGATTCAAACCTCACTTTCAAAAAGCGCAAGTAACCAATACAATACAATTTAATTTACAAAATTTCAAACAAATTAGGTCCTATATTACAACCGACGCTGCTAAATCTTATCTTCATTGTATGATTTTTTCCCATATTGAATATTGTTTCACAGTTTGGTCTTTGTTCTCTCTATTAAAGGCTGCACACATTGGAATAGTTTGCCAAAAGAAATCAGAGATAGCCCAACTTTTGCTTCTTTTAAGAAACAGCTTAAGAGATGGCTGAACAAACATCAAAAATGTAATCATTTGGTATAAAGGTTGAATTTGATAGGTAGATTTATTTTAAATATTTATAATAAGCATCTTCGAATCTTTACATATATAGCAGTTTTTGTAATGTGTACTGCAATATATTCTCTATAAGATAGGCCTATAGGAACTTTTATGATTATCACTATTCTTAATTTATTTATGTGTATATGTGTGTATGTATGTATATATGTGTATATATATATATATATATATATATATATATATGTGTGTGTGTGTATAATGTATGTGTATATGTGTGTGTATGTGTATATATGTATATATATATGTGTGTGTGTGTGTGTATTTTATTTTACATGCATTTTCTTGATATATTGTATATTGTGTGTCTTTTCTATTTATTTTTGGATTCTGTTTGTCTGTGTTGGGGGACAACAGATGGAAATTAGCATTGTGCTAAATCCGGCATATTTACGTTCGACTATGTTTGTACGTTCATTGATATGCATTGTCCCATCTAAATAAATAAATAAAATAAAGTGACACTTTATTACATATGGTAGCAGAGAGCCCCATGATGAAGAGTCTAGCTCCGCCTCTGCTCATCTTACAAACTACCTGCAAGGTTATTTATTTGGGTAGCATACATATTCTGAATGCCTTCAATGCCTGAATGCCTTCATGAATTCAAATGAGCCATTTTAATCTAGATTAATTCCAAGATTACCGTGAGATTAATCTAGATTAAAAAAAAAATCTATGCCCACCACTATGTTCCAGTCTCCGACCGACCCTGTCAATTTATGTGCGACCCAAATTTATTTTATGGGGAAGAAATAATACACATTTAAAATCAGCTTGTGTGTGTGTAACATGCTGGGACACGCAAGGTGGTAGAGTACATGTACAGGTAGGCTATGTTATTGAAAAACAGAGTCGCCTATCCATCGCTACTGTAAAGTAAAATTAAAAAAAAAAAAAAATTTAAAAATAATTTCCTTTCTATCCCTTGCTGCCACTGGAGAAAAAAAAAAAAACTACCAACCCATGATCTCAACTGACATCCAACCGTAACCAAACTTTTTTTTAAAAATGTTATGCCTAATATATATATATATATATATATATGAATCTTTTTTTGGAATTCTATTAATCGATTTTCAATCGGTAAAGCTTGAATTGCGATACAAATGTGAATCAGTTTTTGTGCACACCCCTAATATTAAGTGTCCCCAATTAAGAAAGACAGAGGCAACACTGGCAAGAACCTAAACTCTTATCAGGTGACATAAATAGAGAAAATATCCTATAGATAACAGCTTTACACAAATATTTTTTCAAACATGCTTCAATTTGTCTTGGAAATTTGTCACTGTATAAAAAACACTATTGATGAGGAAATTGTAGTTTTTAAATGTAAATGTTAGTTTAACTCAGCCTCTTTGCTGTATATGCTGTTTATGTAAAAAATAAGTGGAAAATTTCATTAATATTAGTATATAGAAAATATATTGTATGTGTTCAATCTAATTCTGTGTTGTGACTTTATTGTAGGTTAAATGATTGTAACTTAACAGACAAAAGCTGTTCATCTCTGGCTGCAGTTCTTGGATCAGACACCAATCTGAAAGAGCTGAACATGAACAATAATAATCTGCAGGATTCAGGAGTGAAGCTGCTCTGCACTGGACTGAAGAATATAAAGTGTAAATTGGAGATACTGAGGTAAGTTGAGCCACAGGAGTCACATGACTAGAGTGAGGTGCGATGACTGACAGGGCGATGCCGGAGGCAAAAGCGCAAGATAACTTTTGTGAAAAAGATCTTTTATTTATTTGTATTATGCCATATCAATCCTGTCATTGTGCTATTTTATTGTTGTTGTGTATAAAGGATTATTATGCTCTTAGGGCTAATTAATATCTGGTGGCAACCACCAAAGATTGTCCGATCAGCACAGTAAAGGATGTCCGTTTAGGAGGAGCCAGATGCACACACCACTCACAGACCACCAGGGCTGGATTAACCATTAGGGCAGCTGGGCTCTTGACTCAGGGGCCCATGACATCTAAGGGGTCCTGGGCACCAGGGGCGGAGTGGCAATCGGGAGAGTCAGGAGTTTCCCCTGTGGGCCGGTTGTGTTTCGAGGCCGCGAGGGCCGATCTGATCAAATTTATTTATTGCAAGTTGGACATGCGCACTTGGGGCCCAAGCGAGGGGAAGAATTTATTTATTTTTTTACTTTTTAGATAACAGAGCGTATATTATATATACTACACAAATAAAGATATTTTTGATTGAATCTGAGAGCTGGATCACTCCTTCATAGACTGCCTAAGGGACTGGCTCTTGACGGCCCATAAAGTCATTAAAGAAAATGTTTAAATATTCCATGTGCCTCAATTATAAGTTTATCAAGTGACGAGACTACTTTTTCTGCGAAGAAAACATAAATAACGACTTTAATCAGCTTTCTTACGAACATAACAGCACATTTATCCCCACATAACAAACCCATAATACAGTGAGGGAGAACTAAGTTACATGAAACAATCCCAGTTACATATTTTACACTACTCACAAGGGAAAAGTCACTACTCACAGAGTTTATGGCTAGTTTCTAGCTTTCTGCTGCTTCTCTTTCAAGGTAGTGGCGAAACGCGTTCTGTAGCACTGTGTGTTCGCGTTCGGCTATGGTAGAAAGATGACGTCACAATATGGCGACCTTCATAGAAGGGGATTCCCGCGGTTATGGAGATATAAATGTCTCATTCTAAGGTAATAAAAACATTCAGGTTTATTAAGTAAGTTCTTTATACACCACTGAAAACATAGTTATGGATGTCATATTACATTTCTGTTATAGTTTTTCTCAATTGTTTACACACAAATTCTGGTACTTGAGACACAATGACCACTACATGTGACTCATTCACCAACCCCCTGAACCAATTCTGCTGAACTACAAGCACAATTCCTGCTTAACACTCAAATTGCAGTTCTAAAACACACTTTTTTTCAAAACACTACACACAAATTCTCTGCATTTGGCACAATTTTCATGCAGAAAATCTCTTCTTTTCACGAGGAACACACTGCCATTCAAATATTCACACTGACTCGTCACATGGACAAACACACGTCTCACAGTTTTACAATTCGCAATCAGAGCTTTAGTATAAAATACCAAAACTGAAGAGAGGATGCAGCATAGATTTTTACTGTAACAGCATAAACATTTTTTTCTGTTGTTTTGTATGTAGACCACTGTATGTGCAACTTTGTGTTGAATGGGGTGTATGAAATGTGCAATCTATTTAACATCTACATAACACACTTATGTATGTAATGTCTGTAGTAAGTGTAACCCTGAACAAAAAAGGCCCAATTCATTATGATGAATGGAGAAGAAGTGTTTTACATTGATCATAGTGTTTTCCATTGAGCACATCAGTGTTCAACTGGTTCTTATAAATATCTATTCATATAATGGTTTGTGTCTGTCATTTGAAAACAAAATAACATTTTGAGAATATATAACATTGTTTTGAATGTAAAGTTTCATTTTGCACTAGAATTGAGGGGTTTTGCCGATTGTGTGTGTGTTTTTAGATTTGTGTGTAGAGTTCTGAGAGTATGAGGCATACTTGCAGGAAATGTGTGTAAACAATCGAGAAAAACTGTAATAGATACTCAACTTTTTGACATTGCACCTTTAAATTTCAAAGGTAAATTCGAAACAAATAAATTCAGATGCATGGTTTCCAAAGTAAAATAATTTCAAAGGGGTGAGTTCTGAGCAAATAAATTCAGACAAATGTTTTTCAAAATAAAATTGAATACAAAACTAGTATTCAAAACTAGTAAAAGTATTCAGTGGCTGTTAAATTTCAAATAGTTATGTCTCTCATTTGCTTCCATACTTTTACAATACTGTATGACAATCACGGGATAAGAGGCAAAGATAATCGTTAGTGTGTGTGTGTGTGTGTGCGTGTGTGTGTGTGAGCGAGAGAGTGTGAGAGAGTGTGTGAGTGTGAGAGAGTGTGTTAGTGTGTGTGAGAAAGAGAGAGAGAGGAGAGTGTGTTAGTGTGAGAGAGAGAGATGAGAGTGTGTTAGTGTGTGTGTGTGTGAGAGAGAGAGAGAGAGAGGAGAGTGTGTTGGTGTGAGAGAGAGAGAGAGAGAGAGAGAGAGAGGAGAGTGTGTTGGTGTGAGAGAGAGAGAGAGAGAGAGAGAGAGAGACTGTTTTTGACACTTAAAATAATTTATTCCATCATTAAAGTTAAAAAAAAATTAAATTTAGTATTCCGTCATAGTGACTATAACAAACAATTCACTCTGTCTCAGTGAATTACAGTTGTTTTACTATCAATGCCAACGGCGAGAGAATTTAATTTTGCTGTGGACAAATCACCTTACTTTGCACAAGGGTAAAATTAAGTCTCATAAGACACTTGAGTAAAGGCTCGTGTGTTTTGTGTCTTAATCAATCTTTTCCACACACATATAAATTATAACTCGTACTCATCGCTCTGTCCATTTCAGCAAATGACGTTTTGTGAAGGCCTCTCCTGTTGTTTTGGTGCTTTTCAACATGCGCGTGCACCCCCTGCTGGTAAAGCCGTCTAACAGCAGACTGAGAGTATGCTCAGTAATCTACTGCTTTTCCTGCAGTTTCTGGATGTCACCGTTGAATTTACTGTCGAATTTGAACCACTGAATTTGTGGAAGCGAATTTTCAAGGCAAAATAAAATGGACCGAAAATTGCCTGTTGAATATTATAGGTTGTATTTTTAAACAGTTTGAAAATTTTGGAAGTGAAATATGAAAGGTGAATATGAATTATTGAATTTTTAATAATGAAAAATATTTTTAATTGAAATATTCACAGCTTAAATATTCAACCATGTTGAGACATTTTAGCCCATAATAATATAATCCTTAAAAATACAATGGATTAAAATGCAAGCAAGGTTAACACAATGCTTTTTTTTTAATTGGTGCAATTCAACATGCTTTTTGTTTCAAAAACATTAGACATTATTTTACTTCCATACGCTTCTACCGCACATTCAGCCAATCACACGCTCCGAAGGCACACTTCTACCTCAGATATTGTATATCATGCATACAAGAATCAAAAGTTTAAACTAAAACACTCAATATTAATTTATTCACTCAATATATCAGTATATATTTATATGCAATATCTCACAGAGTCTAATTTCACAATAAATTTCTGCAAACATTTTCACTTTAGTATTTTGTGATCTGATGAAGATGAAGATCTCTCTTCCTCTGTTTTATTTGCTGATGAAGATGATGTGACTTTATAGAATAAAGAGTCTCTTATTTTCTTATATTTTTGTCTCTCTCTCTCTCTCTCTCTGCTAATGTAGGTTAAGCTGGTGTGATATGACAGATGAAGGTTGTTCTGATGTGTCTTCAGCTCTGAAATCAAACCCGTCACACCTGAGAGAGCTAGACCTGAGCGGGAATAAACTAGGAGACTCTGGAGTGAAAAACCTCAGTGATCTACTGATGAACCCACAATTCAAGCTGGAGAAACTACAGTTAGTGTCATTATACTGTACAGCAATTACAGTGTGACTGAAGTTTATTTATTTGAAGACAGCAGGGCTTATGTTTCATTGGTTATAGCAGTGCACTTTCTGGGTTTCCCTATTGCTCACATTTTTTTCTATTTCTTTATCTTTTCACAGTTTTTTATCTAGTTAATAAAGTGTAGTTTGTATTTTTTTTAATTCCCATCTGATACAATGTACTGATTGTGTACACGCAGAAATCTGCCTTTTCAACAGGGAATAAAGAAGAGAGACGTCAAATAAATAGATAGAAATGAAAGAGAAGAAACAGTGTCTTCCAGCGCACAGAACTAGTGTGACTGGGTTTTAAAACAGACTATTGGAAACTAAATGCTGCTGTAGCTCTTCAATAAGATGATCATCATAGATGTGAACTATTGTTATTTCTCTGTCTTCAGTCTGAGTGATTGCAGTATTACAGAGAAACAGAGTCTCATCCTGACTTCAGCTCTGAAATCAAACCCGTCACACCTGAGAGAGCTGGACCTGAGCGGGAATAAACTAGGAAACTCAGGAGTGAAGCACTTATGTGCCGTACTGAAGGATTCACACTGTAAACTGGAGAGATTGAGGTCAGTCACATTCACATACAAGAATCTAAATGCTTAAAATCACTTCAACTGTTTAAACTAGAACACATTAACATTATATTTGAACAAACATTTTCACCTTAGTATTTGTGATCTGGTGAAATAAAGATGAAGATCTCTCTTCTTCTGTCTGTTTTATTTGCTGATGAAGATGATGTGACTTTACAGAATAAAGAATCTCTTATTTTCTTCATTCTCTCTCTCTCTCTCTCTCTCTCTCTCTCTCTCTCTCTCTCTCTGCTAATGTAGGTTAAGATACTGTTATATGACAGATGAAGGTTGTTCTGATGTGACTTCAGCTCTGAAATCAAACCCGTCACACCTGAGAGAGCTGGACCTGAGCGGGAATAATCTAGGAGACTCTGGAGTGAAAAACCTCAGTGATCTACTGATGAACCCACAATTCAAGCTGGAGAAACTACAGTTAGTGTCATTATACTGTACAGTAATTACAGCAGTGGCGGGCCGTGCATTTCACACCTAGGCCATCTGTCCTACCTGAATTAATAACTTTTAATAGTGTATCAGCACAAAGACTCTCTATAATTGTTTTTATTTTGCACCGGCAGTTATTGGGTTATGCGGTGAGTTCGGGAGAGGCCGGTAGAGAGAAACGAGCGCGTGAGTTCGGCTGGTGCGTTTGTAAAGTGGTTCTTGCGTTCCGAATCCGATTATAAGTTCAGAAACGGAGCCTCACTTATCTTGTCGTTCAAGGGTTACAATAGTCCCTTTTCAGACGTTACAATAGTATGAATGTTTGAAAAAAATTAAGTTTCGATCATAAATTTATACAAAAAATGAAGAAGAAAATCATATTCACCACGGCGGGAAAAGCATATACTCACCAAAACTACAGATTATTTTTTACACAAAATCCATCCTTTATTTCTTTCCTCAAGAAGACTTCAATTACTGTTGTACAGGTTCTAACTGCGTTTCAGTTCCAATAATGTTGTCTGTCTCGTCACATTTCTAGCATAAATTTTAATTTGCTTTATGGCTGAGAGTGCCTGTTCGACAGAAGCACACAGTCACCGCAAAACATGACGATGTGTACAGCTGCCCCATACTCTCACACAGAGTTTTGACCGAAATCAACGAGATCAGCGGGACTTTTGCCTTCAAAATCATTCGTTTCATATCTTACATTAGTCTGTTCTGTTTTTACCCGAAGAGATCGAATAGAGTCCCGTTACTCTGCGTTTAGCTCAGGCTGAATAAGGGATTGTTTTCTGCTGGGGGTCGAGGAGGGAAAGAAACATTAATTTGTGGGTTGAAATCTATTACATCTACAGGAATATATTTTAGTTTATGCAGTTCGCTACAGATGCGGATACTACCAGTAATAGTACGCGCATCCAATCAAAGAACGAGAAAATACAGATGTTATTATTCGCCTGCTAGATGGCCCCGCTGCAGTCAAAGTGAAATCTGATTGGCTGATTAAATCTGACGGATTATCTGATTGGTTAAAGAAACAGTTTCATTGCCTTTCATTTTAAGCTACAGACGCCTGCACTGTCGATTCTGAAGGCCTCCAGGCAGATTTATTTGACCCTGGCAACACATGATGGCTGAGATATGATTGGATACAAGCTCTAACATAAAAACACAATACTGGAAGCAGCGCAACCAAGAGAAAAGCCATGAAATTAAGAGAATGAACTATTGGGAATAATTTAATATTCATGCAAAAAATATATTAAAGTGCAAGTCAGTGATTCTGATAGTGTTTAGGCCAGCAGAGAAGGCCTTGCTGGCCCTGACGGCCCACCACTGAATTACAGTGTGACTGAAGTTTATTTATTTGAAGACAGCAGGGCTTATGTTTCATTGGTTATAGCAGTGAACTTTCTGGGTTTTGTGTGCTTTTTTTTCTAGTTAGCTTATACAGTGTATTGTAATTGATTTCACTGGTTTAAAATTGAATCAATATTTTTGAGTGTGAACATTTTTCACCAAAAAAATGTAGTAAATCATATAAAACTTTTTAGCCTGTAGATAGTAATTGTTTAATTCCCAGCATCTGATACAATGCACTGATTGTGTACACACAGAAATCTGCCTTTTCAACAGAGAATAAAGAAGAGAGACGTCAAATAAATAGTTAGAAATGAAAGAGAAGAAACAGTGTCTTCCAGCGCACAGAACTAGTGTGACTGGGTTTTAAAACAGACTATTGGAAACTAAATGCTGCTGTAGCTCTTCAATAAGATGATCATCATAGATGTGAACTATTGTTATTTCTCTGTCTTCAGTCTGTGTGGATGCAGTATTACAGAGAAACAGAGTCTCATCCTGACTTCAGCTCTGAAATCAAACCCGTCACACCTGAGAGAGCTGGACCTGAGCGAGAATAAACTAGGAAACACAGGAGTGAAGCACTTATGTGCCGTACTGAAGGATTCACACTGTAAACTGGAGAGATTGAGGTCAGTCACATTCACATACAAGAATCAAAATGCTTAAAATCACTTCAACTGTTTAAACTAGAACACATTAACATTATATTTGAACAAACATTTTCACCTTATTATTTTGTGATCTGGTGAAATAAAGATTTTGATTTTTCTTCCTCTGTTTTATTTGCTGATGAAGATGATGTGACTTTACAGAATAAAGAGTCTCTTATTTTCTTCATTCTCTCTCTCTCTCTCTCTCTCTCTCTCTCTGCTAATGTAGGTTAAGCTGCTGTTATATGACAGATGAAGGTTGTTCTGATGTGACTTCAGCTCTGAAATCAAACCCGTCACACCTGAGAGAGCTGGACCTGAGCAGGAATAATCTAGGAGACTCTGGAGAGAAAAACCTCAGTGATCTACTGATGAACTCACAATTCAAGCTGGAGAAACTACAGTTAGTGTCATTATACTGTACAGCAATTACAGCAGTGGCGGGCCGTGCATTTCACACCTAGGCCGTCTGTCCTACCTGAATTAATAACTTTTAATAGTGTATCAGCACAAAGACTCTCTATAATTGTTGTTTTTATTTTGCACCGGCAGTTATTGGGTTATGCGGTGAGTTCGGGAGAGGCCGGTAGAGAGAAACGAGCGCGTGAGTTCGGCTGGTGCGTTTGTAAAGTGGTTCTTGCGTTCCGAATCCGATTATAAGTTTAGAAACGGAGCCTCACTTATCTTGTCGTTCAAGGGTTACAATAGTCCCTTTTCAGACGTTACAATAGTATGAATGTTTGAAAAAAATTAAGTTTCGATCATAAATTTATACAAAAAATTAAGAAGAAAATCATATTCACCACGGGGGAAAAAGCATATACTCACCAAAACTACAGATTATTTTTTTTACACACAATCCATCCTTATTTCTTTCCTCAAGAAGACTTCAATTACTGTCGTACAGGTTCTAACTGCGTTTCAGTTCCAATAATGTCGTGTCTGTCTCGTCTTATTTCTAGCATAAATTTTAATTTGCTTTATGGCTGAGAGTGTCTGTTCGACAGAAGCACACAGTCACTGTAAAACATGACGATGTGTACAGCTGCCCCATGCTCTCACACAGTTTTGACCGAAATCAATGAGATCAGCGGGACTTTTGCCTTCAAAATCATTCGTTTCATATCTTACATTAGTCAGTTCTGTTTTTACCCGGAGAGATCGAATAGAGTCCCGTTACTCTGCGTTTAGCTCAGGCTGAATAAGGGATTGTTTTCTGCTGGGGGTCGAGGAGGGAAAGAAACATTAATTTGTGGGTTGAAATCTATTACATCTACAGGAATATATTTTAGTTTATGCAGTTTGCTACAGATGCAGATACTACCAGTAATAGTACGCGCATCCAATCAAAGAACGAGAAAATACAGATGTTATTATTTGCCTCCTAGATGGCCCCGCTGCAGTCAAAGCGAAATCTGATTGGCTGATTAAATCTGACTGATTATCTGATTGGTTAAAGAAACAGTTTCATTGCCTTTCATTTTAAGCTACAGGCGCCTGCACTGTCGATTCTGAAGGCCTCCAGGCAGATTTATTTGACCCGGCAACACATGATGGCTGAGATATGATTGGATACAAGCTCTAACATAAAAACACAATACTGGAAGCAGCGCAACCAAGAGAAAAGCTATGAAATTAAGAGAATGAACTATTGGGAATAATTTAATATTCATGCAAAAAATATATTAAAGTGCAAGTCAGTGATTCTGATAGTGTTTAGGCCAGCAGAGAAGGCCTTGCTGGCCCTGACGGCCCACCACTGAATTACAGTGTGACTGAAGTTTATTTATTTGAAGACAGCAGGGCTTATGTTTCATTGGTTATAGCAGTGCACTTTCTGGGTTTCCCTATACACATTTTTTTGTGCTTTTTTTTCTAGTTAGCTTATACAGTGTATTGTAATTGATTTCACTGCTTTAAAATGTAATCAATATTTTTGATTGTTTCACCAAAAAAATGTAGTAAATCATATAAAACCTTTTAGAGTGTAGATAGTAATTGTTTAATTCCCAATATCTGATACAATGCACTGATTGTGTACACACAGAAATCTGCCTTTTCAACAGAGAATAAAGAAGAGAGACGTCAAATAAATAGTTAGAAATGAAAGAGAAGAAACAGTGTCTTCCAGCGCACAGAACTAGTGTGACTGGGTTTTAAAACAGACTATTGGAAACTAAATGCTGCTGTAGCTCTTCAATAAGATGATCATCATAGATGTGAACTATTGTTATTTCTCTGTCTTCAGTCTGAATGATTGCAGTATTACAGAGAAACAGAGTCTCATCCTGACTTCAGCTCTGAAATCAAACCCGTCACACCTGAGAGAGCTGGACCTGAGCAGGAATAAACTAAGAAACACAGGAGTGAAGCACTTATGTGCCGTACTGAAGGATTCACACTGTAAACTGGAGAGATTGAGGTCAGTCACATTCACATACAAGAATCAAAATGCTTAAAATCACTTCAACTGTTTAAACTAGAACACATTAACATTATATTTGAACAAACATTTTCACCTTAGTATTTGTGATCTGGTGAAATAAAGATGAAGATCTCTCTTCTTCTGTCTGTTTTATTTGCTGATGAAGATGATGTGACTTTACAGAATAAAGAGTCTCTTATTTTCTTCATTCTCTCTCTCCCTCTCTCTTCTCTCTCTCTCTCTCTCTCTCTCTCTCTCTCTCTCTCTCTCTCTCTGCTAATGTAGGTTAAGCTGGTGTGATATGACAGATGAAGGTTGTTCTGATGTGTCTTCAGCTCTGAAATCAAACCCGTCACACCTGAGAGAGCTGGACCTGAGTGTGAATAAACTAGGAGACTCTGGAGTGAAAACCCTCAGTGATCTACTGATGAACCCACAATTCAAGCTGGAGAAACTACAGTTAGTGTCATTATACTGTACAGCAATTACAGTGTGACTGAAGTTTATTTATTTGAAGACAGCAGGGCTTATGTTTCATTGGATATAGCAGTGCACTTTCTGGGTTTATTAAACTAAAACACTTTATTCTCAATATCTGACAGTGAGTCTGAGTTCACATTATATCTGTGTAAAATTCTTCACATTCATGATTTGTTTGTAAGATAATCTCTCTTTCTCTGTTTGTGTTTCTCTAGTCTTCAGTACTGTGGCATTATAGATGTTTCTTCTTTAACTCAGTCTTTGACGAACTCAAAAGCACTGCAGTTTTTAAAAGAGCTTGATCTGAGAGAGAATAAGATCGGAGACTCAAAGCAGCGGCTCAGAGACGAACTACGAGACTCAAACTGTGTCCTGAGGTGAGGAAACATCACTGAGATAATAAAGACATCTTCATTTACCTCTGATATGTGAACAATCCTTTTAAACATTCATGAAAGGAAGTTATTATTAAGATTTGTTGCAACAAAGGGTTTGTGTGAGAACATAATGTGAAGTTATTGAAATGTTGAACACAAAGGAGGAAAGAGAAGAAAAGCTCACTGTCACAGCTTTATCCATCAACACCTGCTTTATGAACTGTGTCAGTAGAAGTGAATCATTTGAGTGTGAAACAGACTTGGTCAGATTGTAGGAAACGCTGCACTCCTGCTAAAATCAGTGCAGTTCCAGCTTCAGCTCACAGCGTCCAGCTCACATGAGCAATGTCTCTGTCTCTAGTGTGTTTTTACTGTGACAAGCAACACGTCACACTACTCGACACTTACTTTACTCTCAGTTATTTACTAAGAGCCTACAAACATAATTAAACTAGAGGACAAACGGCTTTAACTAAAGGTTTGTGTTTAACTCAAAATAACATTAGTATTTGCTCGCTGTGGTTTATTCCATACGCCGTACACTCATTAGTTTCTCCTTTACAGAGACTCAATAGGAGTCGCACCGACACACACAGACACACATATCAACATGATTCAGGCTTTACATCTATTATATTTAAAAACACAAATATCTCTATCCAAGATCATGTAAAGTCAGTCATTAATCTGATTACAGGAATTCAATTTAACTTACTTTTACTAAAGGAAAACAGCACTTTGTTCCACTGAACACTGATTGTTTTCTCTTCTGTTCCACTTTACAGAGTATATTAAGATCGACTGGCAATCGTCAGTGGATTTCCATCAAGGTTTAAATCTGTGAAACGGAGATGAGAAGAGCAGAAACCATCAGGTGATCCACAGAAGAGTCTCACTGCTGTCTATGAGGAGAAATACATGTGTAAATGTGTTTCATACAGGTGGAAGAGACTCAGACTTCACTATTAAATAAAGCAGCGTGTGTGTTAGCATGCGTATTAGAAACATGTGATATTGAATGATTAATGTTGGTTTATTATTCAGCCAAATGATGGTTTAGTTGTAATTAAAGGTGGAACAGAGGAAGAAGCTCAGATGAGTGTCAGCAGAAATCTTCACTATCAGGCCTGCAAATATAATAATGTTTAGACTAAACTCATCCAGAATTATTCAGATATTTCTAATCATGAACGTGATTATCAAGTTTAGCACATAAATGTTTCAAAAGATGTAAAGATTACATGTAACTTTTAAACATTTTATCTTATACACAGCATATCTTTATTGTTATTGTTTTATTGTATATGAAGTTAGTTGTGTGTGTGTGTGTGTGTGTGTGTGTGTGTGTGTGTTGATGCACAGATGTACAGTGTATTGTCTTTGTTCAGTGGATGAAGTCTCCTAGGGTGACCAACTGTCCTGTTTTCATATAACGATATATACAATATAAGAATTTTCTATCCATACAGAGGAGGCATAACCTTCTTTAAATGTATTGAAATTAATAAGGTATCTTTGAGTAAACTTCGAGTATCATTTGAGTTGGCCCATGTGTTTGCTGGGTCGAGTGTCCTGGTTTTTGGTAATCAAAATATGGTCACCCTACTTCTCCTCTACAGACCGACTAAACATTTTCCCCAGTTGACAGCATTTGTGTGTTTCACTCGCTCCTCAGATAGCAGACGGATGTGGGCCACTTCAGGCGATGATGCGGCACTGCAGGCCTTCTTATGGCCCGACAAAATGTGTGTGAGCCTGAAGTGGCCCACATGTAAAATGGCAAATATGGCCCAAATATCTTAAATCACATGTGGGCCTTTTTAGGCAAAGATGCGACACTCATGGCAATGTGTAATCTGAATGTGGGCCTAAAGTGGCCCATATGATGAATAATGAATATGGCCCAAATATCACAAACTAAATGTGGGCCACCTATGGCAAAAATGCGGCACAATCGACAATGACTAATCTGGGTGTGAACCAAATATGACCCACATATGTTGCAGCAAATGTGGCCCAGTTATCTTAAAACAAATCAGGGCCAGTTTTGTCAAAGATGAGGGACAGTAATCACTGTGAATCTGAATGTGAACCCATGGGCGTCAGTGTGGTCTGAAATGTGCTGGGACAGAGACACATTCATTTAGTTTTCTCTGTCACGCAGGTCATGTTTTGAAAGATGATGTCATGTAGCTTACTAATGCAAATAAATAAAAATACATACAAAAATGTGATGTCCGACTCGTTTTATGAAGAAGAAAGCCTTAGGTTTTTAAAAGCATTAGACATATATGACCCACTATTCTGCTTCAAGTAGCCGGCCATGTTGACAATATGACAACGGTCAAAAAAATCAAACCCAAAGTACAATTATTATGGACGTTATCTGATATTAAGCGTTTCTGCATCACATTTTCAGCAGGGCAGCTCGCTGTTCATTGACAATCGGCAACCCATTACATTGATAAATAATGACTGTGAGATTCTAGCATCTATCTTAGCAAAACGCCTCAAATCTAAGTTACACTCTTTTATTTATGAATGCCGATCTGGTTTCAAGAAAGATCATCACATAGCCAATAACATTCGCTTAGTTTTGGATCTGATTGAATACAAAGACTTTCTAGATGATGAACAACACCTTATTTTATTCTTAGACTTTCAAAAAGCCTTTGACACGGTAAGCCACAAGTTTATTATTGACACTTTAAACTGTTTTAGTTTTGGTAAGAATTGTATTAATGCTGTATAAACTCTGTACATGTGAGGAAACAGTTGTGTTAGATTGGCTAATGGAAACTCATCTAGATTTCACACACACAAAGGTCTCCGCCAAGACTGCCCCACCTCGCCTCTTCTATTGGGGATTGAAGCTCAAACTCTCTGTCATTTAATTCACAAGAGTTCATTCAAAGGAATTACATTAAATGAAAGAGAAATACAAATCTGACCGCTGGCTGATGACACAACCCTGTTTCTAAAAAATGAATCCCAAATAGGAGTTGCACTAAATGTTGTAAACCAATTTTCTGAAAGCTCAGGCTTGAATCTAAATCTTTCAAAATGTGAGCAGTTTTCTCTTAAAAATAAGCATTCGGGTCAAATATGTGGCATCAATATAAAGAATTTAGTTACTTATAATGGATTAAAATCAGTCCTAATCAAAAGTTGATGACAGAGAGTAATATTTCTTTACTACACGACTATATTCATTAAAGTTTGACTCTTGGATCAAGAGATATATCTACGTATGGCAGGGTTCTTCTTCCTAAAGCAGAAGGTCTCTCACGAGCTGCAGATTTATTTACATCAATAGAAATTCATAAGTTACAATGTGCCAATCTAGACAAACTATTATATAACTTTATATGGAGGAAGAAGCCTCATAAAATCAGGAAAAACATCTTGACTAATAAAATTGAGGAGGCGGGTTTATCGGTCATTGACTTCTCACTTTTCAATGAGATATTAAAAATCAACTGGATTAAAAGATTTGTGGAAAATCCAAACAGTTTCTGGAACATTGATCCAAACTTCATCTTCGGAAAAACTGCTTTAAACATGATATTCTACTGGTATCCGAATTATTAAATAACTCAAATCAAATTATAACTTATGATGAAGTTAATGTCCATCCTGCAAGAAAAGACTTTGATATTGTATCCAGAGCTAAACCCCATGGGATCATCACCCTATTTAGAGATGGACAGATTTGATCAAATTATTGTATTTTTCTCCAGCAGTGTTTCAATAAATAGACAGATTTATTCTAGACAGAAAAGTGAACAACAGAGTAATAAAAAGCTTTTGTGTGTGAAATCTCTCCCTGCCTCCAGGTACAAATGGTCCCTTGTATGGAAATATTAATGGGAATAGAGCATGGAGTAACCCACATACATGTATAATTACAAACAAAGTAAAAGAAATATCATTTAAAGTTCTTCAGCACTATTACCCCTGTAACAAGATTATTTGGAAATGTATCCCGACTGTAGACGAGAAATGCAGCTTTTATTCTACAGGTGTTCGCATGCTCTTCTCTGGGGAATGATATACAATGTTTTATTGATGGACACTTTGCCTCAAACTTACATTTATAGTTTTGACATCTTTCAATTTTCTGACTCAAACTCCTCTGTACAATATATAGTCAACTTATTACTTTTGCTTGGAATATTCTTTATTCATTAATCGAAATTTATGAAGAACAAATCTCTTTTCAATGTTTTTAAAATTCACTTAAAGGTATAGCGGAGGATCTTTCCGAATTTTAGAGAAGACCCGCCCTCTCCAATTTTTAAAAAAAATGCACATGCACAAACACAACACTCTTGCTCCCGAGAGGGAACGTCTATTACGCCTTGCACAATTATGTTGCAAATTCTAAACTAACTCAAAAATATTCATAAAAAAGACAACATGTCAAATGCCCTTCCGTGTTTTATTTACTTATTATACTGATCGATTGAGTGACCGAGTTCTCAAGACATGATATGTGCAACCCTGTATCACACGAAATACGTTCTGAGGAAACTATTTTGCAAATCGCAATTACGTTACATAGCAACATATAAGCAGTGCTATTACGTTGGTCCTTATAATATCTCTCATTGTTAATACGTTATTTTTATACATAGTTGCATATGGAGAAGTAGCTTGTTGCATTTGTGTAATAATAAACACACAAGGTTTTAGAATATTTCAGCGTGATACCATTTACCATTTTGGTCAAAAGGCTACTTTAGACAAATTGAGATGTTTACCGTGTCTATGCGGTCCATGACTCGTGCCAGGGCTAGCATTGTAGCTTGCATTAACTTTTACTAGTGATTTTAAATGGATTTCTCCAAATAGCGTGACAAACTTTACCTGTCTGGTAGAATCTTCGCGACTGCGGCATCAGTGAGAAGCCCAACCTGTGCTTTTAGCGCACGCCAGCGTGTGATATTCACCCAAAATCACTCTGGTCTTGTTTCTATATTCTGCGGCCTTTCTCTTCTTATCATACACTTCGTATACATTTTTTTTTCTTTCGACCCTCACCCATTTTCAAAGGAATGGCTGAAACCGTAACTCCGACATAATACACCTGAAAGTGAAAACTACATAGGGACGAGCACGTAGCCTACGACGGCCTTACGTAAACATATCACACACTTAGGTGGACCAATAGTATAGACTACTGTAACGGTGGGTTACGTGGTTTTATTAAACTTTTAAAGGTTCGTATTGGGCGCCAGACAGTTTAAATAAACTGACAAAACATTTATTTTCTGATCACGGGAAACACAGAAAATCCACCTCCAGCGTCAAGAGCATGAAGTCCATTCGTACAATTTTCACCAACCACACACACAAAAAAAATATATATTTAAATCATACAGTGTCCAGTAGTAATTCTCAAAAAGCAACAACAAAAAAAACAAACAAAATATAGCTGCGAGCAGCGATGGCGGGCCCAAGCCGGTGGCACCGCAACCCCGGTTCCTTTAGTTACCTAAAGGCACCGGGGTGGCGGTGTCGCAGGCTTTGGCCCTTTCATGATTAAATGATTAAATGTTAAAACAGCTTGCCATACTCTATCTGTCGTTCGACTAGTCACAATTACATTACAGATATCTTAAATGATAACACAAACTATTCAAAATGTAATTAAGACTAGTCACTTTTGTCAAAATGTGGCGTGTTGATATCTACAATGTTAATTCCGGATAGGCAAACTTAGCTTTTAAATGTTAAAAGGGCTTGCCATATAGGGACGTACAGTAGGCTCAGAGAGAGGCTCACCATATTCAAACCAAAATATCTGACTTCCTCTTGATCCAAACTAATGACTATGAATTAGAAAGTTCTCTGGCTTGAGGAGTACAATGCCCCCCCCCCCTCCCCCCCTCTCCCCCTCTCTCTCTCTCTCTCTCTCTCTCTCTCACACACACACACACTTCGACGCGCGCGCCTCTCTCAAGCCGGAGTGTGCGTGTGTGTGTGTGTGTGTGAACAGAGGAAACAGGAAACATAATCCGTTATTTTGTTCATAAAGGACAACATTCAGACTGCAAACTGTTTACCTATATTTGTGTACAATAAAATAACATCCTCTGTCACATACGTAATAAATATAGAAAAATAATGACACAAGAGT